TTACTTTGTTTAAAAACACATTACACTGGTCAAGTCCCTTTTGCTGGGAGAGTCAGATCATTAAGATACTGATATTCCCCAAAATGTTCTTTTTCAGTCAAACTATACTCTTGGAGCTCTCCAAATCCATTTCAACTAACTAGCAAAAAACAATAGCAATTTTTATCTAGGGCTACAAATAAACTCCAGATGGTGCTCTAAATTAGGGCACTGCAAGCAAGGCTCCCCCTCTTTTCCGGTTTCCAAGCCACACCTCTCACATCTACTGCTCCTGGCCCCACTCCCCAGCCAGCCCTAATTAAGGCCCTAGCCCCATCCCCCAGATTTAGCTCTGCCCCATTTAACATTCTGTTGTGAGCATTTTCCACTATAAAAGTCTTTGAAACATTTTCAATGGCTGTATTATAGTCCACTGTACAGCTACAGCTTAATATAACCATTCCCACATCATAGAACATCTGAGCTTGTCTTTCAGCCAAATGAGGATGAGATGAAACGGCCACCGGGACAGCACGGCAGCCTCAGTGCTACTGACTTCTCCAGAGAGGAAGAGTTTGGCACAGGAAAGTATACGCAGACATCCCCGAATTCACCCCTCGCCCACCCTCAACATTCAGGGGAGGAGAGAGAAAACCATTCCTGCAAATAGGTCCCTGGTCACTGCAGGCCTGCTTCTTCATCCTCACCAAATAGTTGGAAAAGACAATCGTTCATCAGAATTCAGACCCGTGGAGAATATGGGCCATGCCTGGGCATTGCTGAGCTAACACATTCAAGCTGGCCCTCTAGGGCAGTGGTTCTCAACTAGGGAGGAAGGGAAAATTTTGTACTGCAGGGGACATTTGGCCTTGTTTGGAGACAGTTAGGGTTGTCCTAACTGAGGGGGAGATGCTGTTGGCATGTTGCGGGTAGAGGCTAGAGATGCTGCTAAATACCCTTCAAAACACAAACAGATTCTAAAACAAAGAATGATCTGACCTGAAATGTCAATTGTTGTAAGGTTGAGAAATCCTGGTCTAGAGTGAAGTCAGAGTCCCCACAAAGCCCCTGCCAGGAAATCGCAGAACGGAGGGCTGACAGGGGACTGTCCAGAAGGCTTGAGTCTAAGTGACACCAACATCCACAGGGATGATGGAGAAGGAGCAGACAGTTTGGGAGACAAAGGCTCATTCTTTTGGTAGATGGTGGTTTTCCTTGGGTGAGTGGCATCTGGGGCATCGTCCTTGCCCTACCTGGAACCCCTAACTTCAGAGCCAGGTCACAAGCCTATGTCTGTCACAGCTTTGCCAGGACATCTCAGAGGGTCACCCTAACGACTGCTGCCTCCCAGAGGGATGCGCAGAGAACAGCTCCACCCCCGCTCCCAGAGCATTCTACCTACAGCTGTGAAGTACCACGTTGTCAGGAATACCACCCCTTCCCTGCCACACCGTCAGTAGTTCCCTCATATCCGCCGAGAAATGTCCGGACTTTGAGGCAGGCATCCAAGGCCCACTGCCATTTGTTCCCACGCTATCTTTCACACCATTCCATGTAGCGCTCCACTCCGGGAAAGCTGGGCTGCTTTCTACCACCTCCCTCCTGGTGAGAAGTTGCCTAGTCTCGTGATACACTCCTCACACCCCCTGTTCACCTGCCCCACATCCTCCAGCTCCAGCCTTTTCAAGTTCCTCCCTATGCCCACCTCCAAGCCTCCCTCACTCATCCCCATCAGATGCTGACCTTACTCTGCCCTGTGTCAGGGTCACTTGGGTTCCTGACTTGGCCCCTCCACACGGGTGAACCTCTACCTCATGAGTGGGGACCAGGTCTCCCCCACCTCTGGGCTCTGCTGGCATCTTCCCCTTGCCCCAACCCGTAAGTGTCAGCATATACATTTGGCCACATCTCACTTAATGTGTCCTGCCAAGATCCCGCTTTCAACATCAACTTTAAAGCCGGAAATGATGACTGTTCCTCACAGCTGCAAACTTTTGAGCACCTAAACAATGGGATTCAAGGAAATGCCCACCCTCCCAGCCCCATCCAACAATATAGGAGAGGCTGGGAAAAGAGACAAGCCCAGAGGGCAAAGGCCACTTCTGAGAATGCTAGATGCCCTTTCCTCCTTGTTCTGACCTGAACAATTCACAGCAGCACTAACCAGAGCTTGTAACTTGTCCTTAAAACACATCATGAGGGGAGATGTACAAGGTGCTAAAGTGTGAAATGGCATAAGAGACAAAGAGCCTACAGGTATCTTTGGCACATGCTCCAACATGAAACTGCAGCAACATGGATTTGTGCCAGTAAATATGAAGAAAGGCTGAAAACAGAAGTTGAAGACTTTTCACCCTTTGAGTTGTGTGTCTATAACTAGATAGCAGAATTCTCTGGGCCTTCGTGGCCTGCCCAAGAGGAGGTGCCCCCAGATACTGGGATATCTACCTAGGATGCTGTTTTGAAGTCACTGTCTCCAAAAGAAGAGTCACAGGGTGCCTTGTTTCCTCTCACACATCGCCGGTATAGGTGTAAAATTAATATAACTGTGTTCAAGGACCTATGGCAAAGTTTATCAACATGACAAGGACACACAGCCTGTGACTCAGCATCTCCTAAGAATTTTATCTCACAGATCTGCCGAAACAAAACGAACCACCCACCCACAAAAAGAGCCTCTGCAGCCTTGTTTGTAAAAACAAAAGACTGGAAACAAGCTAAATGTGTAACAGCCAGGGCCTGGTTAAATAAATTATAGGACATCCATATAATGGAATAAAAGATCGGAAAAGCTCTTTCTGTGCCAATTTGGAGTGATCTCTAAGATAGATGGTCAAAGAAAAAAAGTCCCTATGGTGCCAGGTAGTGTGGGTAGCTCATTATCACCTGTGGGTTTGTAAAGGAATAACAACTTTGAAAGGAACAATTGCTTGAATATTCATAGAAATCTCTCTGAAAGTGGATGCAGGAAGTCAGGTCATCAGTTGCCTCCAAGAAAGGACAGATATTAGGTGGGTGAGACCAAGGTGAGAGGAAGACTCTCCCCTTTGCACCCTTTGATGTTCTTTTATTGTGTTCCATGTGAGCACATTACCTATTATAAATAATTTAAAACACTAAGGACACACAGCGGTGATACTGCCTATTTCCTGTCTTGTCCTCTTGTTTCTTCTTGTCTCTCCTGTGTCTTCCTTACAGAACTCGCCCACCTGTTCCCCCCAACACCAATGTCACAGGGAGGGAGCAGCATGAAAAGTACAGGGGCGTGGTATCAAGACTGGGCTGTAAAGCCAGTCACCCCATGCCAGTGTGTGGACCTGTACTGGCTCCTGTAGCAAGCAGAGTATCTCCTGTCAGGGAGCACTGGGGGATTAAAACAGACCACTGGTGGGCAGAGGCCCCTACTACAGCGCCAAGCACACTGGAGGACACCTCCATAGTTGTTGACAGGTGAAGGCCTGCCTTCAGCCTGGTCTGGCCCAGCTGAGATCCTCTGATTCCAGCAGGGGCTCCCTAGGGACCTCTTCTGAGCTGCAGGTGTGAAGGCAGCCCTGGAAAGCAGCTGTTTCCTTGTGTGCACAAGAGCCCTGCCTCTACTCGGGGCTCTGCTCCCATGAGGGGGAGAAGGGAAGAAGGAGTCTTCAGGCCAGATGTCCGCAAATCAACAAACTGATCTTGGCTCGCTGCACTGTACCTCATGATTTCCTGACGCCTAAGACATCGTTGGCAGTGGCTTCGGAAATAGTGAACACACAAGAAAGCCACTTCAAAGGCTGCACGTGTGCAAGAGGAAAGCACACATGAAAGGCTTTGTCTCTCTCTGTCCACCTCCAAGAAAAGCGTCTCAAGAGGGTTCAGGACATGGAAGCAGAGGGAAGGCAGCTCCCAGAGAGAGTGTGGGCACCCATGGAGAGTATGCTTCTTTATGTCCAACCACATCTGCCTTCACTGAGGCCCACTTCCTATACCCTTCAAACCACCAGCAGGCTATGGAGCTACACAGAGTTCAAATCCTGGCTTCCCCTCTTCCTGGCTGTGTGACCCCTGGCACAATGCTCGAGCTCTCCCTGCCCCAGTTTCCTCACCTACAAAATACAGATAATCATAGCACCTATCCCAGAGGGTTGTTATGAGGATTAAATGGGTTAACACCTGTATAGAGCTTGGAACAATACCTAGCACAACATAAAAAATAAATAATCAATATACTACTGTTGATAGCTACCACTGTCATCATCACCAAGGCCCTCCTCTCTCCTAGCCCCATTCTGTTACACTGCCAGGTATCACTGTCCCATCAAAGCTACTGAACCTCAGCACATAGGAGCAGGCCCAAACCCCAGCCTACCGCCATCGAGGGCCACTGCTAGGGCCGCAGCACCCAGCCCCATCAGGAGACCACTGGACTCTAGCCTCAGATCTCAATGCTTTTTGGACAGCCTGCTGGTCTCACCAGCCTTTCTTTACACTGCCCCCTTTCCATTCTGCCTTTTGCAAACCCCATCTAAGCTTAGCCAAATTTCCTACCCCAGGGACAGTGGCCTTTGTTGCCCAGGCCAACCTTTGTACAGAGTCAAACTCCTCTCCTCAGCCCAGACTGAACCAAAGGTACAAGTGTTACTACGGCCCCTGAAGTCAGGTTCATGGCTCAACACTGTCAGTACAAACAAGAAAAAAATCCATCAGCTTTCCCCAAGTCTCGAGCCAGTATCTTCTTGCTTTCAAACCAAGTCAATTTAACATCTGACACTTGTGCCAAGAGCCCACATCAGGAAAAGCTGATCCTTTCAGCTTTTACAACCTTCGCTGACAATTCCCCACCCAGCCTCGGATCACTGGCCTTAGCAACGGGTTCCCTGCAGGCTCCCTCAGTGATGTCTGCTGCATCGCCTGCCACCCTCCTGCCCAGGCTCTGAGAGCAGACGGACATCTGCAGCCTAGCATAGGCACCGACCCCTCTGAGACCAACAAATACATTGGATTGTTAAAGGACGGGGTTGTGGAATTATAATTGGCCTTACTTTCTGGGAACAAAATCCCGAGCATGTCTCCACTGTCACGTTCGCCTGTATCAGGGAGTCAGGGAAGACGTGTGTAATGTTCTCCGGCAGTCTGAAGCACCCTCGGTACATGACGGTCCTCCCTGAGGGGAAAAATGGGTTTCTGGTAAGAAATGGTGCCCATGGTTGTTGGTGCCTATGGTTATTGGTGCGTGTCACAAGGGAAATTGGTGGTTTCAGATCCTGAAACAGGTGTAACTATCCTCAAGAAGGGAAAATTTCAAATCAGAGAGGGTAAACTGCCCTGGATGGGGTGTGGTCAAGCCAAGCTCCTGAGAGAAACCAGGCACCAGAACCTTGGTCACCCAGGGTCACTGACAAGGGTGAAACTATTGGCTGAAACTATTGAATTTAGGTCTCACTTCTCCCACCAGCTCCTTGGGGGACAATGTCCATTCACCTATCTATCATTCCTTCCTTCCTTCAACAATCCAGATTGTGTATCCATCACGTGCCAGATTCTACACTAGGTGACTTGAGAGGCTGATATTCTAGAAAACTCTATTTCCTCCCCACACATGTATAGAAAGATTTGGAAATCCCCTGCCATGTTCCCTCTCACTGTGCCATCAAGTCACACCACTGCTTTGCTTTCTCACTGATCTTGAACTCCCATCAAATTCTAAGAATATTACTCAAGCCTGCATTACAAAGGAAGCCTCCTGCCACATTGTTCTCCAGACCTTCTGTTGGAAAAGTCCAGCACCCTAGTTGCTTCCCTTAGTGCTGAACAAACCTTCTGGAATGTTCCAGCACCAACTGCTCATACTTCTTCCAGACTCATCAGAGTCTGTCTAAATGGCATCCTGGTTCTCGTCCCATGCTCCTTTGAATACCAAATCTCTTGGGTCTCAGCATCTCTCCTGCTCTCTCTGCCTGCTACAGCTCTTGGCCAGCAGCACAAACCCTCTCACCCCATGGTGGGAAGGTTCTCTCCATGCAAAACTGCAAAACAGGACTAAATCCTGGGTCTGGAAGCCCATCCAATCGACACAGCACCAGTGGTCTGGACATCAAGGCATGGATCCATGATGATGAAGATGAAGAAAAGCAGCCTGGTGCTGGAAAAGCAGTCTAGGCTGAGTGTCCTAATGGCCTGGGGTCAAGTCTTGGCACTGCCAGTGACTTCTTTTGAAACCTGGGTGTGTCACAAACTCAGAGACTCTCCGTTTCCTCCCCTGTGTGATGCCCATCAGCTAGAGTTGTTTTGAAGAGCAACATGTACCCACGTGCTGGCCCCTCATGGGGCTGCACCCTCTACAACCACCTTCCCGCTCTGGCTTTTGGTGTAAGGGTCTGGGTGATGTCTTGTGCTGGGCTCACAGAACTCCTTCCTATCCTGTGGCATGATTGGGCCTGAAAAGAACAAAACAGCTAGATCGACTGGGCTGGGGTCCTCAGCCAGCTGCATTGGGGTGGTGGGGAGAAAGGCTTCGAGGCATGTGGCAGGAAGGATGAGCAGCACAGGCAGGGCACAGGGTGAGTGGAGTCATCAGTGCCTCAGTGAGTCCATGGCCGCAGGGAGCTCCTCGGGGAGGCTGCATCTGGGTCATCCCTGTGCTCCCCATACCGAGCCCTGACTCTGACACCCAATAAGTGCTGAGCGGATGAATGAACTGAACACAACAGGGAATGTGAGGGTACAGCATACACTGCCAATAAGTCAGCAATGCAAGAGCTGCTGGAGATGGTGGCATCAGCTGCCTCTAGACATCAATGAGCAACTGTCAGGGAAGAGGCTGTCATCTAGTACAGTCTATCCACACCCTTCTCCCTTGTTCTGCAGGTGACAGCCCCAGGGCCACTTAGAGCAGAAGAACACCTCCAAGGTGAAAACACTGATAAACTGTTCTGTTCCAACCTCTGATCCCAACCCAGGGAGCACGATAATGGCTCTTATTCCTTGTATGTATTCCTTGCTGGTAAGAAGCTAAAATTTAAGATGGGTTGTCACTTGGTTGCCTCTTGACAGAGGTCCTGAGTTAGTTCATCCCCTTGAGAAGGGAGTAGGTAGGCAGAGGTCAACCGCATGGGCTCCACAGCCTATTACAGCTTTTACGCTGTACAACATTAACCACAACATCAAGTCTAGCCAACCCAAGATCTGAGCCTGGCTTGAATGATTGGGCTATCTGACCCTTAACCAATGGCAACCTGAAGCAAAACAATTACCTCGAAGAGTCAGTGGCTTAGCAGGCAAGAGGAGCTGGCAGGGCAGCATAGAGCCCACATAGAGACCTGGTCCTGCTGGGAAGCAGGGTATGGGGTCAGGGAAGCTAATGTTTAAACCCAGGGAAATCAAAGATCCAAGAAATCAGTCTGGTGCAATTTGGTCCTCAGGAAGCCCATCTGGATGCCTCGGTCATAGTGCAGGACTCAATAGATCCAGGACAGGACCTGGAACAGAGTTGGTGTCAATGACTATCTCTTGAATTAATGGTTTCATTAGTGAATCCATAAAGAGTGTGTTATCAGGGTCACCACTTCTGCCTCTGTTCTGCCATCAGTAGCCTTTGTTCCCAAGTATATCAGACCTGAACACAAGAACCTAAGTAGCCTGTCAACTGGGTTTGAGCACTGAGCCACTCTGACACCATATACAGTATGGTTCTCACAGCTGGGCTTGTGCTGCTTGGGAAATTCATTCGTTGCTAGGAGAGCTATCCCAGACACACCTCTGTAGTCTTAGCTTCTGGCCTGACATCTCTTGCCCTGAGCTCTGCCCTGTTCTTGAACTAATCCATCAGCTCTCCTAGAGCCCTGTTACTAGGTGTACAGCTAGAGGAGGTGTGTCCATGAGTCAGAGTACCTGGACTCTGGGCTGTGCCTCTATCATACACTGTCCCACCCTTACCAGTGGTGGGGGGTCGTCCCCCATGCTTTGACTTCTTCCTAACCTGGCCTCTCCGAATCATGAAAGGATGGCCTCCCACGTTCAAATGTGCACAACCATATTGATTTTATAAAGAAGGCTTTATAATTAGATGAAGTGGATCTGGGGCCCTTCGTCTTACAATGAGGACAAACCTGAGTTTTAGACGCATCTAGCTGGGCTCCCTCAGTTGCTATCTGTTTGATAGCACTTTCTGTTGAAATTCTTAAGGGTTCAATCTTGCTCTCTGAAGCATCCACTCACTCTCTCTCGTGGTTGATTATTTCCTCCTGAGTTCTGTATTTGAAGAAGCATGCTTATCTTCAGTGAGAAATTATCTATGGGAACTCTTTACACCTGGGTTGGTGGTATAGCTCTCAAGAGGTTTTACATCTGCCTCTGCCAGCACCTCCAGATGGCTCAGAGCCAATTTTTTTTTTTTGTTGGTACTTTTGGGATCAGGTAGATTTGACAAATTTGAACCTCATACAAATGCAGGCCTACAATGGAAAGTTCTTAGGAAGATTTTTTTTCCATCTGAAGCTCAGATCAAAACAGACAAGTTTTCTTTCTGTCTCCCTGAACTGGTAGGTGGTATTTCTTAAATCTAAAATTTTATTGAGTTATACTTCAGTGAAACTGAATTCCACTTTATGCAGAGGTTTCAGTCTAATTCCCTGCCTGATCATCCCCAAGATTCCTTCTCTGTCCTGCATGGACACCAAAATCTCAGCCTGTGGCCATCAGACCAGCAACTTTCCCCTGTGGAGACAAGAGCTACACAGCATCTTCTCTAACCCTCAGGCCAATACCATGATTTTTAGTTCTCTCTGCATTTCTGGAGCCAGGGCTTTCCTTACTTTCTTGCTAGTTCAACTATGCCTTTAAAATAATGTTTGTTCAATTTTATCTAACAGTTCTAGGTGTTTTACAGCTGGGGAGCTTTCAGATTGTCTGGTCTACCCCATTGCTAGAACTCTAGGTCTGCCTATACACTTTACAAAAATAGACTGGAACCCAGAGAGGGAAAGCGAGCTGCCTGAGGCGACACAGCATGTTTGTGACATACCTAGGCCTAGCCCCCAGGCCTCCTGATCGGTTTCTCTCCCCTGCAGGGAACAAGGAAAGAGGTGCCTAAGTTAAGAAGTCAAATAACGTTTGGCAGACCCTAACCCCACTGCCCACTGAGAGGAGCCTATCCAGGGAAGATGGTGAAAAAGGGAGGGCACAGGTTCTGTCCCAAGTAATTCGGACTAGGGGCTGCAGGAGGGAGCAGTTGGAGAGTAGGGGACAGATAGAGCTTAGGGAAAGGCTGGCACACTCACGCTTCCTGGAGCCTGGCTGCAGCTCCTCCACTCGGTACACAGAGAGCCGGCCAACACCCCCGCACACGGAGCCCTTCTCCCCCTTGCACTCATGGTTACACTCCTCTGGCCTGACACTCATCACTGGGAGCCGGTTCCCGCAGTAGCACTCTGCCCCGGCTTCCAAGCCAGCATATGTGTAGGACCTGCAGGGAGAGTGAGGCCTGGGTTAAGTCCCGCCATGGGCTCAGAACTAGGGCTGGGGTCCTGACAGCACCGAGGTCTGGATCAAGGAATGACAGCTGGGTCTGGGGCCAGGTTGCAGTTGAGGTTAGGTTTGAGTGAGGAAGCAGGGGCCATGGCCATAAGCATGTGTTTGGCCTTAGGAGTCAGTCTCAGCCAGACTTAGGGGTTATCTGCGTAGAGAACAGTCTTTCTTTTGTGATAAACTAATTGAATCAGCCCCATTGGTCCCTCTCATCAGGCCTGAGCTTTATCCCCTAAAGGGCCATCTACGGTAACAGGTTATGATGGAATGCTGGAAACCTGTCCTCAGTATGGGAGGGAAGGAGCCCTAACTGGTGGCATTTGCCAATTCCTGCGGTGTAAATACTCCCACCCCAGATTATCTCAAGCTACCAATGGTGTAGTAATGGGCTTATAACATTTCTAAAAATGTAACTCTTTCTTCTTGTGAGCCAGCATGAGCTGGCTCCAGCACACTAGTGGTCCCAGTTGCCTTCTGCGTGTTAACAAACAGACCCTGCTACAAGCCCCTCTCCCCAAGGACTGTTCTTTACCCACTTCACCCACAGTTGTAATGCTGCAAGTAAAGAAAGATTGTAAATGAAACTGATATCGTATCACACAGGATTTTACCTGTGGTAAGAGACCAACATTTTCAAACTTGCATCTCAGTGGTCCTAAGTGTAAAAACCCAGATGGAAAACCCAAACACAAGCTCCTAATCTTCATCTGGCCCTTTGCTAGCTGTGTGACCCTGAACATCACTTACCAACTCCGAGTCTCAGTTTCCTTAACTGTTAGGAGAATAAAATGAGATTGTGTCAGTCTCAGTTTTAGCTTTATCTAGACTGTAAAGTCTGCACACCTGAGCAGGGACATTGTTCTTTCCCTCTCTGGCCTCAGTTTCTCCATCTATAAAATGTGTATATTTCTCTGCTGCCTAGCAGAAGGTGGCAAAGATTTATATGACACAAAAAATGTGGAAAAAATCTAATACGATAGAAATGAATCAAGAGTACCATCTGCTGATTCCGTTTTACCCGTCTGCTGTGTGTGAACACACATGCGTGCGTGCACACATACACACACGCGCGCACACGCAAATTGTGAGTATCCTGATGGTAGGGACCAGTCCCTGGCATATGACTAGTGTTTTGTAACTACTGAGTGAGCTGGCAGTATCAGAAAAAGCAAATCTTATTATAAACACATGATAGAAATAAATTTTTCCTG